GAAAGTTTTTTTTTTTTTTGTTAAAAAAAAAAAAAAAAGGAAGGCAAGAAACCGGTTCTGGTCTATTCATTTATTTTGTGTTCCATAACTTGAGGGGAAAATATTCTTGTTTTCAGTATTCAGACAGGCTGTTTATTCTTTCTGACAGGACACAGCAGAATGTGAAGTTTCCTCATCCATCTTCTCGCTCTCCCTCTCTCCTCACCACAGAAAACCAGCTGGTGCAGAGCCTACTCCCAAGTCTCGGATCAGCCTCCCGGCGCCCAATCCTGACCACATCGGTGGCTTCAGGTTGGCTGTGGCCACGTTTGCTGGCATCGAGAGTAAATTTGGACTGCATCTACCACGATTCCGAGCGCCTGCCGCCCCACATGTTTGAAGCAAACGCATCCACTTCAGCAGCACTGGAACAAACACACATATGAATCTCTTCCTTCTTGTTGAGAGCATAAAACCTTCAGCAGATGAACTGGAAATAATGTTTTATGTGATTGTTAGTGCAAATGACAACTTTAAAGTACAACATTAGATGGGATGATGTTTAATATTTTTTTAATCTACCACAAAGTCTTGGATTCTTCAGTGGGATTGTAGTGTGAATTTGATTTAATTTAAATGTAAATCAAACCATTTTTTTTATTTGATCCTTTCAGTTGTTTTATTATATTTTTTATTTACCTGAAGAAAGAAATTACCTTTAGCAAACTGTTGCAAACCAGCTAAATGGATATGGACAAACCAGTCAATTCAAATGGTCAGTTAGATATACTACAGTTTATTTATTTAACGAACATGTCTCTTGATGCATATTGCAGGGTTTTAAAACAGTACAAGCATATCCAGTTGGAAATGACCATGTTGTATTGTTTAAATGATAGATGTGCAACTGTTTACATTTTCTTTTCTCCTCCTTTTACCATAAAACTAAGCACATAGCACTCATTAGGCAGTTCATTTCATTACTGATGTGTACTCATATTTGAATGTATTTCATATTTATGTTTGTATAGCGTTACATTTGTGTGTTGGGAATCTACACGCAGTGGCAATTTATGGTCAATGTGAAATGAGACGCCTCAGTAAGGTTTTACACATGTTTGTCAGTCTGGGTACTGTATTTCTCAACCCCTTAAAAATGATGTGAAGACTAAATTGAGCTGTACAGGAGTAGAGTTGATTGTACATATAGTGTGTAAACATTGTGCCTTACTGTAAGTATGGTATATCAATAGATGCACTGATGGACAGATTTATTAAAGGAGATCAAACAAAAATGGTTGCTAGAAGCATATTTTATTTGCCAACACTTTTCATTTAGCCACACAGTTATGGTTTTCAGTAACATCATTTCTAACATGTGAAACATCTTTTAGTATACACACAATACCTGCTTGCATCGCTGTAACACTGATGAGAAAGCCACTGTGAATATTGCCGACACAGTCACCAACTTATAACTTACTTTGTCAATGCTTCATGCAGGGGCTCAGTACAAAAATATACACACAATATTCAAGTATACTAAAAATAACCACAAACCAACATCGAAGATGCCTTTCTAGCAGGAGGTTATTTCTAATTCACATTTCTGAAATGCACATTTTCAAAAATGTTATTAACTGATTTAACATTAATTGCCATCAAGGTAATGAGACGTAACGTAAAAATACAATGAACTCTCGCACAACAAAAAGCTCACGGAAATTAAACCTAATTTCAAATGCTTAGTAACAAACCCATGAGTACAACATTAAAGAGATAGTTCACCTAAATATGAAAATGACCTTTCATGTCATTCCAAACCTGTTTGACTTTATAGTGTAGGACAAAATAAGCAGCTCTTTCCCATAAAAAGAATATGTGTTCATTATTCACGTTCATTATGGAAAGACAGTGGTGAGTAAAACAGTTACAACGTCTATTTAGCTGATATATGATAGACACTCTTTACTAATCCTGTAAATTATGTAATTAATGAACGGGCTCATTCAAGTCATTCTTTTCGGTAATCGGTCTTTACCAGTCGCACTGTCTTCACTTCTGAATCATTAAAACATCAAGCTTATAAATGTAATTTCGTGATTCAGACAACATTGGTCGTGTATGCTTATTTTACACGCATTCCGCAAGGACAACTCGGTAGAAAGACGTTTCTCATTAATTTGCTGTACAGTCATCTAGACAACAAACTCATATTCAGATTTCCTTTGCCGTGGCACTGAAGACTCAGCTGCTGGAAAGCGATGCAAAAAACAAGTGATACAGAGAACCTTGTAACCGTATATTAGCCTGCACATTACGAAAAATATAAATTAAAAAAATAACAACATGGCCCAAACTGTGCATTTAGGTAAATTAGTTTAGCGACATGTACAGTACGGATAGCGCAAATACATTGTCACTCTGGCATCCGAAATCACATAAACTACTTCCTTACTATATAGCGAAAAACACTATGTTAAAAAAGTAGTATGCCCGAATTCACAGTAGGAGAAAAAAGTTCCCTACTTTCAGTGAGATTCTGAAGTGTGCACAATGGACACTTTACTATCTCAGGAGACCAGCAGGTCACATGACAATGACAACGAATGTAGTATGTCTTGATAAAGTTCATACTACACACATCCATACTTTACCGAACATACTTTTTAAACAGCCTCTAATTACTTAAAGTAGGCTTAACTATTTAGAGAGTATGTGATTTCAGACAGCCAGAGTAAAAGATTAATCTTGGGATTTCAGGAATTGTCAGCAAATAATCAGAAAAATCAATATTTATTCATGATTTTTTCCCCCCTACACCAGTTATGCACAAAACCCCACCACGTAGCTGATTCTAAAGACCATATTGGTCATATAAATCACGGTTCAGACTGCCTGCACAACATTAAATCAAATACTAACCTTTGACCTCAACCTAAACCCTAAGCTCAGTATAACTTGGTAGCACATCCTGATAGCATTAGGCCTACTGTTTGTATCGATTTGATCCACTGAAGATATTTCTGAACTTTTCTTGACTGGTGACTGCATGATTGAGTTGATAAATGGAATCGCTGTGGGGTAGGATTTGCACTTAACTGGTTTGAAGGAAAAAAATCATGCAATATTTTTTCTCAGCCCTAGTAATATTTCATTATTTGGATCAACGGTCCCTTTTATTGAAGTAAACAGCACAGTACTAGTGGACATGCTAATTGGGTGTGTTACATCAGGCTCAGTCTGGGTTGGTGATGACTCTGATCCGGTGTTTACGTGGCCAGCTCCACAGGCCCCTCCTCCTCACCGTCCCCGTGGTTGGCACGGATCTCCATCAGCGTGTGGCCGAAGTGGGCCCAGTCCTCACTGTGGGGCACAGCCAGCTGCAACAGATGAGCGTTTTAGAAATCTAGTGCCAAAAACACCCCCCACCCCTCCAAAATGCCACATCAAGAGCAAAAGCTACGCATTACATGTGCTGTCACAGTGTGGGAGAGGAAAGAGATCACCACACAGTGTGATTCAGAGACAGAACAATAAAGCTGCTTGTTTGGCCTTTGAGTGCTGAATATTTATCGTGTCAGTTCTCAGAAAGGGGAAGATGGGGACTATGGGCCGGCTGGGTGACGATGTGGGATCGCTTTCTGCTGTCAGAGTCAGATTTAGATGAGAAAGGACGGCTGCCTGCCGCCCAGGCTGAGGAAGAGAGAGAGAGAGAGAGAGAGATCTACAGGGTATAATTAAACAGGAATAGAGAGGTGGGAGGAGATGACAGCCACTTCCAAACCCAAGACCAAATCAAGCTCTTTTATAGTACAGCAGGGGGGTCTTAAGAGGCCTTCATCAATAAATGACCTTATAACACTGGGATTTCATCACTATATTCTGTATACTATACATAATTATTTATGTATATGTATAGTATATATATATATATATATATATGTGTGTGTGTGTATACACAAATATATAATCAGTATGTATACTGTACATAACACATACTGATTTTATATATATATATATATATATATATATATATATTACTGTACATATACAAAATTACTTATGTATAGTATACAGAATATAGAGATGAAATCACAGTGTATATATATATATATATATATATATATATATATAATGTTACATATGATGTTTCATATGTTTATGTTTTTTGAAATAGTTTTATACCATTTTTTTAAAGACATGTTTACATTTAATAAATCTAAAAATGTCATGAAGTATAATTGAGTAAAATTATTGCAATTTTGTCCCTTTACATCTTAATCAAATATTTTAAATATATTTTTCAAGATATCATAATTCAATTTTTTTGGGATTTGCAAAATAACATTTTGCAAAAAAAATATCTTGTCATAAAAATATCTGATATTTTATTGAACTTAACATTATGGTCTGATGGGTCCTCTCTTTTTTTCTGCAGGTTGGTTGATCACATCATTTTGCAGACATAATTTATTTAGATAGTAATAAGTGAAGCAGTTAAAATATATTTTCTAGAAAATAATAAAATATGTTTTAACATTTTTTATAAGATTTAATGAGATGTTTAACCTTGCTTCTTAAAAAAAATAACAAAATTAATTTTAAATCAAATTCATGCTGGTCATAGAAGGGGTATACAGAAAATCATGGTTTGTATGAACTGCAGTAATGGTGTCAGGCAAGAACATGAACACAAACACGACTGTCTGAACAGAATTCATAATGGAAGACTAATACGTGTTGCATTCTTTGCGTTGCCACAAGGGGCAGTAGAGCAGATATTTGCATAAATTGTCTTCTTCTATGGTCAACTAGAATTATACAGCAGCAAAGCAAGAGTTTAAAGAGAATCTTTAGCTTTAGTACATCATAGATTATAATTCTGGCCTTAAAAAAACTCTCATACAGGGGGTGACCCGCGGTTGAAGAATACAATCTATTTAACTTCAGCTGTAAACCACCCAAAATGACATCTGAAATTTATGCAATATGACTCAAGCGTAGCGAAAACATGCTGTGGTGTTCCAAAGCAAATATTTAATACAGTCTACTAAATATAACACAAAGGGACCTTGGCAGTCGTCAGAAGTGGTACTTCTTGCCGCGACTGGAGGTTGGTGACTGCCTCTGCTGATAGAGGCCATGTTGAGTGCTTCATGTCGAAGTATTTTGTAAGTCTTTTGTAATAAGCCACGTTCCACCTAAACCCTTCAACTTTCCTTCACTTCATTTTATTGATGACCCACCATTATCCTCAGCCCAAGAAGCCCACATGCTCGACCGACGTACTCTCCAATTACCACAATACACTGCGCTAAGATTAGCACTGCCCCACAAATGAGGCGAAACCCGGAGACCGAAAAGAACATGGTGAGCATGGGAGTCCTGGTGGTTTGCCACTCTTTGGCGGTGGTTTAGTCATGTGGAGACTGTCTTAAAATAAGGAAGTAAGTTTCGAACAAAAACAAGCTAGCCACGCGGAGCTTGGTAAACATGCAAACCCTTTATGTCAAACTCTGAGAGATTCAGTTTCACTTCCACTTTCATTCTGCATCCAGGCCGTACTGGGTTGATTATGTTCATAAAGCTGCCATACAGCTGAAAAAATAATCTTGAGAGAAGAATAATAACAGTAATTTTGCACATTACAATACGTATTAGTGACAAAAGATTAATACCTCTCCAACGTCGTATATCCACACACGTCCCTCTGAGTCTCCCACGGCGACCTCTTTGCCCCCTGCGGCCCATCTGACGCGGTTCAGAGCGGGGGCTCCCTCTATTGTCACACTAGCAGTGGGCACCTGGACACAAAACACACCTCTAATCATATATCAAACATATCAAACACACAATATGTGAATTACTCACATTACAAGTTTGGGGTCGGCAAGATTTTTTGAATGTTTTTGAATGAAGTCTCTTTCATGGTGAAATATATACCAGCATATACACTAAGAATTTTAAATGTTTTTGATATAAATCTCCTATGCTCACCAAGTCTGCATTTATTTGATGAAAAATAAATAAATTGTGAAATATCATTGCAATTTAAAATAACTGTTTTCTATTTTAATTTATTTAAAATGTAATTAATTTATGTGATGGCAAATCTGAATTTTCAGCAGTCATTACCCCAGTCTTCAGTGTCACGTGATCACTTAGAAATCATTCTAATATGCTGATTAGCATGTATTATTATTATTATTATCATCAATGTTTAAAACAAATGAGCTGCTAAATATTTTTTGTGGAAACTGTGAAACATTTTCCCCCATGATTCTTTAATGAATGAAGTAAAAAAAAAGAAAAGAAATCATACATAAAGGTTTTACTTTTGATCAACTTTTTGTCATGTTGCTAACTCCATATTTCTTCAAATATTAATTAGAAGGCATAAAAACACAAATGAGACAAATGTTGAATTATAAAATGAATGTGGATCGTATAGTCCTAGTGTGCTCACCTTTAAAATGTATAAAATATCAACCATCAACCTCAAATTCATGCTAGAATATAGAAATATAGAAAAATATAATAAATTATAACAAAGAGGATTTGGACTCAATACATTTGGCGAATCTCACTACAGAAAATGTGTCCTCAGTTTTTGGATATTAGCCTATAACTCATATAATGTAAACATACATAGCCCTTGTGATAAAATGATGTTGTTAGGATGCCTAGTCAAAGCTGAGCTCTAATAGGAAGAAGACATGAATCCACAGCTCTACTGGAAATAACTACGAGCGCTTTTAATTATTTCATAAATCATCATGAAAAGTTGCTCTGCACACATTAAAGCGACACACAGGCTCTGTTTGTGCACATGTGTGAAGTTGACTTCTGCCTATTACTTATGACAGTTAAGACTGGCCTGACATATGTTGTCAGCAAAGATGGAAGCTGTACGCTGGCTAATACAAAAGCTTCCTCGCTTCAGAACAGGCTAACCACAGCCTGAGAGCTATTAGAGAGCAGCTTCCTCCAAGAGTCAACTGCAAGGTTAAATTGGCTGCAAGCTTCTCTTTGCGTAAATTGGAACCAGGCGAACCCGCAGTCTGTTAATGGTGTTATGGGTAAATTTCTTTATAAGTTGACAATGGAGAACTGTTGGCTGCTTTCTGGCACATGATCTTTGCCTGTTTATGCATGTGTCGGTGTGTGCGTCAGCATGCGCGATGCCATGGCACTGTTGGCTCCTGATGTTTTGGATAACGCGCATTGTTCTTGAGAGGACACCCACACCCACACACACACACACACACACACACACACACACACACCTTTTAAATTGCAAACATTATTTTGATGACTTCTGCTGACATAATGTTGATCACACAATTTTTGCTTTAATTGATTTTTTAATTAAATTGATTTGAATAGATTTTTTAAATAATAAAAAGTTGTAGTAACTTGAATGAAATTGTCTTAATAACTTTAAAAATTTTAAAGTGTAGAGTACCATGTAAATACCATGTTATACAAATATGAATGGACAATATATTGGTACCATATCGATTATGAGCTGAATGGACTAAAACAAAGGCCGATATTAGAGTAAATATCAAATATTAGCTAATATTTGTAATATTTTAATGTAATATTCAATAATATTGACCCATCTTTGATATTAATTGCACACACTCATCTAAAGTTAATCTTTAAAACACTAATAGTTTATTAAGTGTTAAATAGAATCTTTAGCAAATAAAAAAAAAAAATGCATTTTTCATACTGAACATTATAATATTGTGATGCCTAAATTTACTTGAAGCATTGAATATAACTAATTTTTATTTGTATTTGTACTGTATTGTTTATTTGTAATTTATTTTGACAAAATAGTATGGAGTTTTAGTATCATTCATTTATTAGTTATCAGTCAGAATATTAAAATAATTAATGGCTTATCAGACAGAATTTTAATATTGGTGCATCCCTATACTTATACGGTAATCATTTATTACCATAATATATACAAAGTACCTTATGTACTGTGCCCTAGTGGTTAGCATAAAGCACATGGTGCTCAAGCGGCAGATGTGGGTTTAAATTCAGCTCACACTGTGTCCCCAGTCTTTAAAACAAGACATGGTGTCTGCATTTTACTTTTGGTTTTTACCATTTCACTTGAGTTAAACAGGATATTGAAACTAATAATACGATGGGATTAGTTTTATCTAATGAGATAGGATCTTTAAATGTGGTCACTATATCAAAAAATAAGAGGGCTTGGTTAATATATATATATATATATATATATATATATATATACACAGTATATATATATACTATACACTGTGTATATATATATATATATATATATATTAATGGCAAATTATTATTTTTTTGTTTTGTTTTTAGAGAATAAATCTTGAATATTTGTTTATTTTATATTTTAATATAATTTTATTTTCATAAATGTACTTGGTTTTTATTGAAGTATTTTACTTTTTATAATCAAAATATATTAAATCTGTATATTAAACTACAAATCTAACAAAATGTAATGAGATTAATGGTTAAAA